GAATTAGAAATGTTGTACTTCTATATTTATAAAAAAAATGTTTTTTTTTTGTAATATGATATATTTTCTTTATAATATCGTCTTAGCTGATTTTGTAATATGATATATTTTCTTTATAATATCGTCTTAGCTAATTCTAGGTTTGAAGACACTCACAATTCTAATTTTTTTTTTTATAATTCTTGGTTTTATGTTACTCACAAGTCATAATTGGTTAATATTCGTATGAAAGATATACAAATGAGATCTTAAATCGAATTATACAATTTAATTGTTTTGATTTATTGCATATATATAGGTAGACTTGCAAGAAACGTGATTATGACCGGTAATCTTCTATTGAACGGGAAGAAGGCAAGATTAGACTACGGCCTCGTCGTAAGTATAATCATCATAATTTATATATATTCAAAGTTTTTTCTTTTCTTTTAAATTTTGTTGTTAATTATTATGATTATGAATAGGCTTATGTAACACAAGAGGACATTTTGATGGGAACATTAACGGTTAGAGAGACAATAACATACTCAGCTCATCTAAGACTTTCAAGTGATTTGACAAAAGAAGAATTCAGCGACATTGTTGAAGGAACAATCATGGAGCTTGGTCTTCAAGACTGTGCAGACAGAGTCATAGGTAATTGGCACTCTAGAGGAGTGAGTGGCGGCGAGAGGAAACGACTTAGCGTCGCGTTAGAGATCCTAACGCGGCCGCAGATTCTGTTTCTTGATGAACCTACAAGTGGTTTGGATAGTGCTTCTGCTTTCTTTGTGATTCAAGCGCTTAGAAACATCGCTCGAGATGGCGGTAGAACCGTTGTTTCGTCTATTCATCAGCCTAGTAGCGAAGTTTTCGCTCTTTTCGATGATCTTTTCTTGCTTTCTGGTGGTGAGGCTGTGTACTTTGGTGAAGCCAAGTCTGCTGTTGAGGTAATTAAAGATGTGATCTTTCTTGGTTTTTTCAAGAATCGCGGTTTTCTGATCGCTAAAATGCTATCTTTTTCTTGATGTAGTTTTTCGCCGAAGCGGGTTTTCCTTGTCCGAAGAAACGGAATCCTTCCGATCATTTCCTAAGATGTATAAACTCCGATTTTGATACCGTTACAGCTACACTTAAAGGATCACAGAGGATTCGGGTGAGAAATTTGAAAATCTCTTAAACTTTGTGAAGAACAAATGCGAAAATATCGAGTCTTTCCAGTAAAAGTGTTTATCTTTATTGCAGGAGACACCAGCTACATCAGATCCTTTGATGAATCTAGCAACATCTGAGATCAAAGCTAGGCTTGTTGAGAGTTATCGTCGTTCAGTCTACGCGAAATCTGCCAAATCTCGGATCCGTGAATTAGCTAGCATTGTAAGCAAACTCTCCTTTGTCCTATTCATTCAAGAATCCAGACAAGTGTGTATTGAAGTTTTCTATGTTCTATGTTTGTTTATAGGAAGGACATCATGAGATGGAAGTGAGAAAGGGAAGCGAAGCGACCTGGTTTAAACAGCTAAGGACTTTGACAAAGAGATCATTTGTGAACATGTGCCGCGATATTGGATACTACTGGTCAAGAATTGTGATCTACATTGTGGTATCGATCTGTGTCGGGACAATATTTTACGATGTAGGACATAGCTATACATCGATCTTGGCTCGGGTTTCTTGTGGTGGATTCATAACCGGTTTCATGACTTTTATGTCCATTGGAGGGTTTCCTTCTTTCATTGAAGAGATGAAAGTTTTCTATAAAGAGAGATTGAGTGGTTACTACGGTGTTTCGGTTTATATTATATCGAATTACGTCTCTTCTTTCCCGTTCTTGGTAGCGATTTCGGCCATCACGGGGAGTATTACTTACAACATGGTGAAATTCCGTCCCGGGTTCTCGCATTGGGCGTTTTTCTGTCTCAATATATTCTTCTCTGTATCAGTCATTGAGAGTCTCATGATGGTTGTGGCTTCTCTTGTTCCAAATTTCTTGATGGGTCTCATTACAGGAGCTGGTATCATTGTAAGCAACACTTTAGCTCTGTTTCAAGATCCTCTGTTTCTTTTTTTTTGTTTCTTATTCACAAGCCCACATAAGCTTATGAATGGAGTTCTTGATTCTGTTTTTGGACAGGGAATTATCATGATGACTTCAGGATTCTTCCGTCTGCTTCCCGATCTTCCAAAGATTTTCTGGCGCTACCCGATTTCTTTCATGAGTTATGGTTCTTGGGCTATTCAGGTACTCTCTTTACTTTATTTGCAAAAACCATTCAAGAACAATCTTGAAACGTTTAGTTTGAAAATGTTATGAATCTCACATTAAAAACAATCATGTTCATGGTCAATTAGTATTGATACAAAAACTCATGAATATTTCGTTTCAAATCCATAAGTTCCAAATATCTATGTGTATGATTTGAAAAAAGATCATGGACCATTCCAAATTCATAGTCAACATGTTGTATACATATCCTTTTTCAATGCAGGGAGCATACAAGAACGATTTTCTCGGTCTAGAGTTTGACCCGATGTTCGCGGGAGAACCCAAAATGACAGGAGAGGAAGTCATACAAAAGATATTTGGAGTTAAAGTCACACATTCTAAGTGGTGGGACTTGTCAGCGATCGTGTTGATCCTTGTGTGTTACCGCATTCTCTTCTTCATAGTATTGAAGCTTAAGGA